TGCGGGCGAGGTGACAGGGACTTGTCCCTTCCACCGCTCCGGGGGGGTCAGGTAGCGGGGTGACACGTCCGACCCACGGGCCCCTGGCGCGGCCGCAGCCGTGCGGCTCTCGGTGAGGCCTGAGAGGGGACCCAGCGGAGAGAGGAGACGCCTCAGGCGGGAGGGCGGTTGAGTCCCCGGTGCGGAGCGCGAGGGGTGCCCGGTGATGTGTGGTGTGTGGGGCCAGGCCTTGCCGCCAGGGGCCGGTTCCCCCACCCCCTCCCCGGGGCCGGAGGGTGTCAGATAGATCCCTCCTACGGATCTGAACGCGAAGCCTGCAAGTTTCAAGAATTGTTTGGATCCTTCTGTGCAAGATAAAGGTGCAAAATCAGATACACGCCTGCTTTGGTTTGTGGGGGTTTTTTTGGTTTTCTTTTTTCCTTGAGAGGTCACATTTAAAAGAAGAAAGCATACAAATATGATACAGAACTACTCCGATCCAGCTTCTTTGGTCCTCATTTATTGCATTGGGCATAACTTCTTATGTCTCTGAGGCTTCTTTAAAATCAGTTATATTGCAAGGCTGTGCCGATTTGTCACTGCTTAGTACTGCAGAGCAGTCCGATTGCTGTACAGTTTTTGAAACCCATACTTTTGACAGGATGTTGAAACATTGGAAAAGGTGCCTTAAAGAGCTGCCAAAGGTGTGAAAAAAATGCTTGAAATGGTTGCAAGGTCAAATATGTAAGTAGCTCAAACTTGCTGAAAGAACACTAGGTGGTGACTTGGCTATATTGCATGAGTGCCTTTGCAGAGAAAAAAAAATCAGAACCGAAGAGTTGAGTTAGTGAAGGAAGGTTTAACAAGAGCCATGGACATATGTAAGACACAGCTGTGAGTCTGATTGATCACTGGAACAAACTACCAACGGAGCAGATCCTCTACATGCATCTTTGAGTTAAAACTTGGTGACTTTCAGGAACATATTCTTTAAATGCAGACTTTGCCTCCGTCACAGACAAATTTCTGAGCTCAATAAATGGGTTTTAGAATAAATGACCTGTGATTAGGTGAGGACATCTGTATATTTGTGGGATACAAGGTAAAATTCCCTGAACTGTTTGGTTTAGTGGTAGATGGCAGTGGTAGGTTAATGGTTGGACTTGATGAACTTAAAGATCTTTTCCAACCTAAACGATTCTATGATTCTAACTGTCTCTATCTAAAAAAGCTTAACATAATGTGACTGTACTATACCTGACAGGGCACCTGCAAGATGCTGAAAGATAGGTTGGTGTGTTTGAGAAGACTGCAAGGAGCAAGAACTCTTCTCTCACGTGATTATACTGGAAAAGGTTTGTGGAAGAAATTCCTGCAATTCAAATTGAAAGACGTTAGTTTCCCCGTTTGGAAGCTTGTTCAGCAAAGGAGAAGTGGCTGTGGGATGGAGACAGGGATGGCTAAAGGTGGAGAACAGGATTTGTTTGAACTGTTGTATTTTTGAAATGAAAGAGAGTTTCTGCCAGCTTCAGGCACTTGATGCTGTGAGTTGTAGTAATAAATAAATAAATGCAGTAATAAAAAAATAACAGATGTGAGATAATGAATATATTTCCAAGGTTACTTCTTTAGTTTAGAAAGATAAGCAGTGGACCCAAATGACAACTTTTCTGTGTTGCTCCACAAATACACACTCAGGTGTATGAGAATTTATCAGAAAATGACCAGACAGCGTTTTGGTTTCTCCTGTTTTCCTTTTTCTCTGTCATCAACAGAAGACGGTGCAACTGTAGAGAGAACAATCCAAAACTAGCCCAGAACTGAAAAGGAAGTCTGGAAAATTTCCTGTAGAAATCTATTCTTGTGTTCACTGTGTAACATCCTCTCAGAGTTAGGGCCTTAGTATGTTATGCCTCTTGGAGAGGTGAGCAGAGGTGAGTCCTGCCTGGCAGATGACAATGACAATCATTTTGGTTGCTCTTGCTCTTTTAGCTCTGGGAGGTACACACTTAGCATAGTTAGAAGAACAGAACAGCACTAGGAATTTCTGCTTTCTCTTGCCTGCGCCTGTGTCACACCTGGTGGGTTGGTAAGGGTTGTTGTTTTCCAGTTTTCCAGTTCAACTCCCTTCTCTCCACAGGACTGCATACACTGGAACGGTCGACACTGTTACAGCAATTACTGGCAAACAAGGTGCCTGGGGTGCTTGGTCCTGTGCATCGCAGAGGGTAAGACAGAGCCTGTGCTTTCAATCTCATTCTCCCTATCGATGACAAATAAGTCTGACCGAAAAATATACCTCCTGAGGCACTAATGACATGCCCTGTGATTTTTTTAGATTGATTGTGATGTGGTTTGACAGTGCTGTCAAGCCATCCATAAACGAGAAAACTTTTGAGGATGTGTTTCAGCATTGTGGCTGACTGTGTAGCGTTTTTACTCGGTGTCTGTGAACCTGAGCCACCAGGGGACTTTACTAGACACTAACAGTTTGCTGAGTATGATTTTGTTCCTGTAATCTCACAAAGAATCTTGTTTAATGATTTCACATTTTTCTTTTTTCATATAAACTTAAATTGGCCGTCTGTATTAGTATACAGAAAAAAACATTTAAAAATTGTTATCAGGTGAAGAGACCACAATCTAAGAATGTCTCAGAAGATATTTTCACATTAAACATTTATTTTTGTTTCCTATGCCTACAATTATACAAGTAAGTATTTTTAAAGACTTTTATTTGCATTGTGTAAATTCTCTTATATGTATAAATGCTAATTGACTTCTACAAATGAACCAAAAACATCACCAAAACTTGCAGTTATTTGCAAATCTGTAAAATGTGGTCAGTTGTGTAATATTTCGATTGAAATGGAATTGTCTCAGCCTCCTAGTGTGGCAGGGTGGTGTGTAGGTAGTTATTATTACACCTAGGTGTTTATTGCCATGCCCAACAGTGTGTATCTTATTTGCATAACCACAGGCTGGTTATTTTGTGATGTAAAACAGCATGAAAAGAGCTGGAGGCTACTTGGCCAGCAGCCACTAGCCATGGCTAGTCACACAGACATGATGTGCATAGCCACAGTAGTCATTTCTCAGTAGCTGAGCAAATAAACATCTCTTGTTTTCTCTCTTTTTTTTCCCCAGACTTTTCAAGCTGTTTACTGCTGATATATATGATGTGTCTGTTACTTCAGGGATTTAAATGATGCAGAACCCCTTAGGAGATGTGTATGAAGTAGAAAGTGGGGCAATGAAATTATGCAAGGGAAAGTGTTTAAAAAGCTGAAATTATACAAAATTGCTTCCTATGGTCATGCTCATTGAAAGCACATATTTTGTCTTTTAAAAATATGTGCTTAGACTGAGTCAGGCTTATCCTTAAACACCGAACAGTCTCACAAGTCTGTTCTCAGTCACTGCACTAAGAACAGATTTGCGTTCTTATAATTTAATTTGTTGTATCATTTGGGCGTCTGCTTTTCAAATTAGTTTGAAACATGACATTAATAAGAATATAGGATGGTCTGAGGAAGAGAAGGTGAAAGGGATGTGATGGGGAGATGTGCTGTAGAGTTATTATTTATGCACTGTAGATTTTTTCTGTATTCTTACTGAATTTGTACACATTCAAAGAACATAATGTTATAAGGGAAAGGAATATTTTGAAGCTACTTCCTGTTAACTTAATAAGTGTGATTTTTAAAAAATGATATTTAATCCAGCCTATGGACACTCCTGAATGAGCAAGTTGATCTCATCATCGTATTTTGTAATGGGAAAACTTAATGAGGCACTGTCATGTAATTTAGACCCCTAAAATATGATGTGATAGAACCTAAGATCAGCAGCTGAACGGTACAGATGTTGTATGTGCTTTTTGTTACTAGATTAAAAACGTTTCTTCTCAATTTTGGGAGGTGTTTAGTAATAAAGATAATATAAGATGAGCAATTTTGCAGAAAATTACCTAGACCCGAGTCAATATCATGCTGTTAGGAGAAGGCAGACATGGTTGTGGGATGTGTGGGAACATGGTCATTGCGTGCCAGACACACGAGTATCCTGTCTGTTCTGCTCGGCTGAGTCAGGCCAGAAGGGGTCACAGTGTTTCCGTAGTGCAGGCAAAGCTGAATTCTGTGCTCTCTAGCACAAGGTCTTGCAGGGCGTTCCTGGTGGCTCTAGGCTTCCAGGAATGAGGGCATTCGTGAAAATATTGGGGATTAGGGTAGTGACAAAGTGAGTGGGAATTACTGCTTTGCTCTGCAGCAGTCGCTACCACATCTCATCTCCTAAAGCAGCTGCCGCTCCACATCTCCTGAAGCCTCCCTTAGAAGATTGGACTTCAGCAGGTCCAACGCTTTGCTGTTTTTTTTGTAGAGACAGAGGAGATGCAGGCTGTTGTCTAAATTAGTTTTCAAAGAGCTGATTGTTATCTACAATGGGAAGAAGACATGGGCAATGTAGAAAACTCTTACAGGAGTGTTTTGTCACCCCCCGCAGTTCACGCTACAGCCTACTTTTTCTGTGTGTAAAAACCTACACTAGTGCTTCTTCTATGTCTGAAACCGGCCTTCAACTAAATTCTACTAACTCTGCTGCAGTTTAAGATAGATACTGAATGCTAGCATAGGGCAGAGTAACATGAGATCCAGGGTGGGTGTCTGTGGGAGAAACTGAAGGAGGTTTTGCTTAGAGAAAAGACAACTAAAGGGAGACGTAGTAGACATAACAGTTTTCAAGTATTTAACAGACAGGTGCAAAAAACAAAGGACATAAATCATGAATATTCAAAATCTCTGCTTTGGGGCAGGAAAATGGACCTTCCAGTCCATTATAGCATAAAAGTCTATGCTGAACTAATGTACTTGCACTGCTGCGAAAGTGCTAGGAAGTAAAATTAGTCTCCTGACTTGTCACACAGTTTGTTGTGTACCATAAATAACATGCAAAACCAAAATAACATCAAGTATATTAAAAATGAGATAGCCTTTTGAGAGTCTGTCCATTTTGAAATTGATTTGGGTGAACCAATTATGTTGTAAATAAGGATTTTTGATACGACAGTGTTCCTTTTGAGTAATCTTCCCAAGGACATTTTTGGGCATACCTCTTCAGAACAAATAATATCTTCTTTTATATTACACATCCTTGTAACTGTGGTTACCCAGAACCAAGCTAGTATACAAATCACACTCTTACAGATATTTAGCAATATCATGCAGGAGAGTTTGTTTAAATCTTAATCTTTCTAGTAGGCACATGGAGTTCTCTCTTACTTGTGCCCACCATATATAGATACCTTTTCTCCTCTATAAATCTTGCTGTGAGAACCCTTTGTTGTGGCAATAAACAATTCAGTCCTAGATACTTCTGTCTCCTACTGTTGCATTTTCTATTTTCCTTTTATGTAACTAATCTGCAAAAGCACTACTTTCATCTTTGCTACTTGTTAGGTTAATCCTGCATTTCAGGCACACTGCTATCACGCAGTTTTCTTTTATGCTATTAACAGGTACAAGTGTTTTGAGATAGCAGTGTACCAATGAAGATCAGCATGGCTACGTTTTGTGTTGATAACAATGTCATTGATACCTAAATAAAATGTTAAGAAGGAAAGGTAGACATGGAAACAGAGATGACAGCTGTATACAAGTTACATGAGCATAAGAATGTTTCAAACTGAGTGTGAAATCGTGACTTGTTTGAAGTTCAAGGGAAATTTTAACAGTAATTTGCAGTGCAGCCGGTATTTTGACTTATACTTTTTTGACTTATTTGACATATTTTTAGGTGAACTAAATTTCTGAGGGAAGGATAGCAAGGGAAACAATTAGCATCATACTTACAAATCAAATTGTGACTACTTCATTAATTGTCGGTCATGCTATCAGTGGGTGGGTAAAATATGAAGAAATGCAATCAGCCTTATTGTAAAATTCACTGAAGTGTTAAACTTAAAAAGAAATGTATTGATAATTACAGAGAGACAGAATTCACTGATAGGTAAAAGGTAGGAGATACGATAGCAATGGGCATGTTAATAATTCATTGGTGTGACTTAAGAATCATGACGCCTTCTCCACTATGCTGGCACAACTCTGCAGCTGAGCTGTAGGCTGAATTGAGGAACTGATCCACTTTAAAAACGTTTTGGTAGGACTTTTTAGCCATACAAATGTTTGGGTCCATGCATTTCCATCCAGTGACTGGAAGATGAATGAACAGGGGTCCAATGGAGAATGGGAAGGCCTTTCACCTGTATTGCTTTGGAAAACGTCACCTCAGCATCCCACAGCTAAATTTCAACTAGGACACTAGAGTTTTTCTTAAATGGTAAAAGTTTATTTTTTGATTGTTGAAATTAGTACGTTATTGTGAATTTTATACTAATTTTTAAATTAATGTCTGTGGACTGTTTTTTTATTTACTGCCTTTTATATTTTTGAAGTGTATGAATGAAAGTTATTATGAAGTGTGGAAGGAAATTGCTGTTGCCTCTTAAGTGAACTAATGGTTTGTATTTGTCTGGAGTTTTGGTTCATTTTTGTCTGTAGTATTACACCGTGGTGTTGAGACATGCTGCCCTCTTGGCTGCGTACTCCCTCGTCTGTTAAGGTATCATGGTGCCTGCTGACAAGTGGGATGGATCCTTGCCAAAGGACAGAGGTTGCAGAGTACTAACTGGCAAGTCTGCTACAAATGTCACCTCCTGTGCAGGAAGTCTTTCTGTGCCACTACTGAACTTTGGCACCATGTGCCTCCAAACATTCGAACACACCTGTGATACACATCAAATAATAGCAGAGGAGAGGGAAGTGTAAGGTTCAAGGACAGTATTGGCTCGCTGCAAGCAGAGGCTGAATTGCACTGAGCGCTTTGGAAACTCATATGAGAGGTACCCAAATGTCATTAGCTGGGAGATAATGGCAGTCCTCTACTTGTCCATTAGATAATAGCACCAGCAGGGAAGTGCTGAATCTCATCAAAGTGAGTTTGCATTTAATGTAAAGATGGTGAAATTGCCTCAGTCTGTTAGAAAAACAAAGTCATAATGTTGACTGATTAGCATATATTTAAACATATAAAATGACTATTAACATATAAACCACTAATACCTAAGTTAATTTCTGTTGTGTGGGACAATGGAAAATAAATTAATGCTTTCAGGTGTGAAATTGCATAACCCGTGGGATTTACCTTGCCTGACCTCACATGCTT